TCCGTGATGCTCAAGCTCCCCTGGTATTTGTCTTCATTTAACAATGTGTCGGCCTTTATATTTTTTGAGGTCAGCATCACCACAGGGACTAAGATCTAGTCATCTGTTTTTCCAACACTACTGGACCTGGGAGAACCCACAGTGACACAAGGGAGACGGGTCTCTTGCTTGCATAAAGCTTACAGTTTAACAGAAGTGACAGACAATAAACACCCACTTAAACAAAAAAAGAAAAATACCAGAGAGCTAATGTGCTCTGGAGAGAATTAAACTTGGACCAAGTGGTAGTGACCATGAGAAAGGTCAAACTGTTCAGGGAAGGAGGTACCATTTCAGTGGAGCCTGAAATGAGGAGGAGGAGACAGCTACGGGAAGGTGTGGGGGAGGAGGGTTCCAGGCCTAGCAAATGTACTGCCACACATCCTCACGGAACATGGATGGGAGCCAGAAACCTCTTACAAAAGACAGTCCTGCCTCCTAGGATCCCTGTGACCTAACTCTGTAGGCCTCACCTTCCTTAACTCCCAAATGAGGATGAAGAGAGGATTCACCTCACTAAGCTGCTGGGAGGATTAAATGAATGACATCATACACACAGAACAGCATGCAAATGAGAGAAATCGCTCCATAAGCGTTAGCTATTATTATAACGGCTATTATTATTTCTATCACAAAGATCCTTTGAGACCCCGTGTTAAGGGAGAGTAGGAAAAAAGAGGTAAAATAACAGAGTGGTTATTTTCTTAGTCTTTGGAGACCAACGTAGGTTAAAATCCAGGCTCCATTAATTACTTGTTCCCTCATTTTGGGACTGTTAAAAAAAACTCTAAAGCTCAGTTTTTTCATCTGTAATGAGCATCTTCCTCATTAGGACACTGTAAGGATTATACACACAAGGTATCTAGCACAGTGCTTGGCATATAGTAATTGCTCAATAAATGTTACATAAAAAGAATTGTTACTATTCATTTTTCTACTAGGTTTTCTGGCTCAGTGCCAAGATAATCACACAGGGTTCAATAAAAGCTTGCAAATGCCACACTGGTCTTTGAGTTTGTTTTAGCAACTCTGAAATGAGATCTTTAAAATCAAGATCTGAAATGAGATCTTGATTCATTAAAAAACAATAAGAGGATGAACATAAAACATGATCACTGATGTGTCTATTCTTAAAATATTTAAATAAAACATGCCAGGCGTCAGCCTCGGCTCCCAGTGGAGGGCACTTTGATGGCGTGTCATTCTGTGATGCACCTGGTGGCTGGTGATGGCAAATAAAAGGCGATGGAAACCGAATCCCTGCAGTTCCCCCTGCAGCCTTTTCCTTTTATCAAATGTTTCCAAGGAAAAGTTCTTAAATCATGAGTCTCAAACGCAGCATCTTTGGTGCATGACCGTGATTCACTGCCCATTTGGAGAGAATGATGGTGAATATTATCTGTTTTTCCAAGACCTGTTACATTTTCTAAGAATTCTTAGACTACTAGACTAATATTATGCTCAGCAAGAGATCGCTCATAAATGTCTCCAAACTTATTTTATGACAGGAATATAGTCAAGAAAGTACAAATGACTTCCTGATAATCAAAATGAGGAATAAATGGAGTTAATTAAAAATATAAACCATTTTGCACCCTTTGCATCTTCGAACAGTTTTTGCTGTGAGTAGCTGAGTTGCGGAGAGGCAAGAGGCTTGAGGGATATGCGGAGGGACAGAGAAACGTCTCAGCATTTCAGCTGTTTCAATTGTTACACAAAACAGCCACCCTCCTCCTCTCTCAAAAATGGCTAAACAGCCTACCTGACAAACTACAAGGCCACTTGGATGAAACTTGAGCAGGACATTATTAGTAATTACTGGTATGTTCTTTAAGTGAGGGATGATCTAAAAACTTGAGATTTGTGTTCTACATTTAACAGAATTTCCTTTTGAATTCAATACTCTTTAAAGCATCTGTGCATGGAAAGCAGATAAGCCCCAGTCCACAAGCCCAAGATTAAGAATGAGTCATCTCTGACATCAGTTCTCCTTTATTAGGTAATATTTAGTAGAGAACTATGTGTAGGTAGTTTGTTGAGTTTTCATGTTGACAACAAGATGGAAATCTGTAGGGCTAATACTATAAACCCAGAATACATTGGGGTGTTTCCCCCAGTTATGTCTAAGTGCTAAATGTGAGCTCAAAAGGAGTCTGCTCTCCCATGTTGATTCTTTAAAAAATAACAAAAAGGTACCCATGTTCAACTCACATTTTCTTCATCAGAATTTGTGGGAAAGTTTGCAAAAACAGTGATATCATTCAGAGGCTAATTCCGGATTTTCAAAATTTGTAATGGAAAACCAGAGTTTCCATAAAGCTTATATTGTTAAATTGGCCAATGCAGGGTCAATGCAGACTTAAAAAAGAAAATTCCCCAACAGTCTATTACCCATTTTTAATAAAGTCACAAAATAGAAGCAATCTGTAGAAGCTTTAAAAAAAAGTCCTTAAGTTATAGTTTCAGATTAAATGGTCTTAGTCAGAAAATACTGGTAGGCAAAGAAGGCCGTTTTACAGTGAAGTTAAAGCATATTAAAGTCATCTTCGTTATAAGCCTGGCCCCAAATAACACTTCAGCTCTCCTTGGCAGTCAGGCAAAAGTTTTTCAAATAAGGATTGGAAATTCCTCCCGGCATCGAGCTAAGTTATATATCTCTTTGCTGTATAGCAATATTGCCATTCTGTTAAGAGTAACAATAAAGAAGTACCGCAATGCTTGTCTAGTAGGGCAACCAGCTTACAAAAACACATTTATCTCAGTTCTCTTTTAACTCATTCACAGTAAGAATGGATGAATTCGAAGTTTAGGAGTATTCCTTAGGACTGCCAAAGTATGCTAGGTCAAACTGTAAATTTTCCCTGAAGTTCTCTGCCAAAATTACGCTGAGGACTGAGAAGAGACTCCTTCAAATGTTTCCAAGAGTAAACTTTAATCTATTATGGAAAAAAAAATAAGTAAAATGACGTTGCCCTGTCTGTGCTTGATGCCTGTTTGATTCCCAAGGCTCAGCATCGCATGGAGGCACACTAGTTGCAGCCGAGGCCTAGAACTCAGGGAAGGAGCTAGAATGTTGGGACATCAAATATTTGGCAGCGGGTTTCCACTAACCCTATAGTGGCATAAATCTTGCAGGTCTATCTTCCTTGGTGTTAACAAAAGGGTCGTCCTACTCACTGATAGGAGGGAGTCTACGGCCAACCGCATGGAGGCACACTAGTTGCAGCTGAGGCCTAGAACTCAGGGAAGGAGCTGGAATGTTGGGACATCAAATATTTGGCAGCGGGTTCCCACTAACCCTACAGTGGCATAAATCTTGCAGGTCTGTCTTCCTTGGTGTTGACCTCTGGAAGTAACAAAAGAGTCGTCCTACTCACTGATAGGAGGGAGTCTACGGCCAAGTGCAGCTCAAGTCTTTGAATCCAGGTAGGCTTGGGTAGAAACCCTGACTCCGTGTTGCCTTGAGCATGTTATCTTCATCTCTGTGTCTCATCCTTCCTCATCTGTAAAATGCTGAGAATAACCACCTCCAGGACCACTGTGAAGGTTAGACATGATGATAATAAACACAGGTGGCAGGTACCATAAAATGCTACCTGTGGCCCTGGCTGGTTTGGCTCAGTGGATAGAGCATGGGCCTGCGGACTGAAGGGTTCCAGGTTCGATTCCAGTCAAAGGCACATGCCCGGATTGCGGGCTCAATCCCCAGTAGGGGGAATGCAGAGGCAGCCAATCAATGATTCTCTCTCTCTCTCATCATTGATGTTCCTATCTCTCCCTCTCCCTTCTTCTCTGAAATCAATAAAAACATTTTTTTAAAAATGCTACCTGTGGTTCACAGACCCTAGCTGCGTAGGAAGTTATTATGCTATTATTTAATTAGATTTCACTTCACATTTCTCATTGGGAACTATTCATTCTTTCTCTCTCTCTCTCATCATTGATGTTCCTATCTCTCTCTCCCTCTCCCTTCTTCTCTGAAATCAATAAAAATATTTTTTAAAAATGCTACCTGTGGTTCACAGACCCTGGCTGCGTAGGAAGTTATTATGCTACTATTTCATTAGATTTCACTTCACATTTCTCATTGGGAACTATTCCTATAACAGAAATGGAATATGTTATGCTATTAAAATTTCCTTATAACAGAAATGGAATATGCTATGCTATTAAAATTTCCTTATACCCCAAGCATTCTCCTAGAGCTTATAGAGATTTTTTAATAACTATGTTCCAGGATGTATCACAATTACCACAGATTCAGCCCAATCTCCCACATCTTCTGCATTTATAGCAAAAATAAAATTTTGCACATTTTGAGGTTGACACTCAAGTGTTATTTTTTCCCCTCCATTGACCCCCTCTAGCCTGCCCCTGACTCCCATCCCAGGCCTTCACCACCCTATTGTCTGTGTCCATGGGTTATGCATACATGCATACAAGATCTTTGGCTGACCACAAAAAATCAGTTTATTTTGTTCATTAGATTCCACATATGAGTGAGATTATGTGATACTTGTCTTTCTCTGACTGGCTTATTTCACATAGCATAATACTCTCCAGGTCCCTCCATGCTGTCTAAAAAGGTAAGAGGCCCTTCTATTTTACTGCTGCATACTATTCCATAGTATAAATGTACCACATCTTTTTTATCCACTCATCTACTGATGGGTACTTGGGCTGTTTCCAGATCTTAGCTATTGTAAATTGTGCTGCTATGAACATAGGGATGTATACATTCTTTCTGACTGGTGTTTTGGGTTTCTTAGGATATATTCCTAGAAATGGGATCACTGGGTCCAATGGCAGGACCATATTTAATTTTTTAAGGACATTCCATACTGTTTTCCATAATGGCTGCACCAGGCTGCATTCTCACCAGCAGTGTACTAGGGTTCTCTTTTCTCCACATCCTCGCCAGCACTTGTCATTTGTTGATTTGTTGATAGTAGCCATTCTTACAGGTGTGAAGTGATATCTCATTGTCATTTTAATTTGCATCTCTCTGATGACCAGTGACTTTGAGCATTTTTTTTATATGTCACTTGGCCATCTGTATGACACTCAAGTATTAGTGTGAACCACTTGGCAGGGCTCTTGGGTTATGTGGGCCGAAGAAATTTGCATATTCTAGGGGTTTCTGAATTGTCAGTGTGGAAATTGGGTCTAAGACAGAGTGAGTGAGGAAGCCCCCTTCTCTACTAAGTCTTCTTTTTTCACAGGTCCCTTCCCCTCACTTCATAAACAAGCTCAAGTCTCCCCTTCTTAAAAAGCAATGCAAGGGGGGGAGGGTGGTAAGAGATCAACCAAAGGACTTGTATGCATGCATATAAGCATGACCAATGGACACAAACAGTAGGAGGACGAGGGTATGTGCTGGGGGGGGCGGGAGTGGGTGGGAAGAGGTCAATGGGGGGAAAAGGATACATACTAGTATGTAATACTTTCAACAATAAAGAATTTAATTTTTTTTTAAGCAAAGCAAAACAAAATAAAAACAAAAACCCTTCTTCTCATGTTTCTTTGTAGATATGGTTGAACCTCTCTCTAAGGGAGAACATCCAAACTTCTTTGCTGGGAATTCCTTGCCAACTGTCTACATTTGCCCTCATCATTCCACTGAAACTTCACTCATTCACTTCCAACCAACAAGGCTCACTGTGTCCATCTCTCTGTTGCTCTGCATCCTATGGATCATGTCCTGCTTCTGAAACTCCTAATGCTTTCGGGCAGTGGCCCTGCACTTTCCCAATTCTCCCCATACAAGTCTGGTTCCTTCTGTTTCTCTCATTCCACCATTCCCATCCTCTGCCTAATCCTTAAACATGAGTTTAAGGCTCTGCCCTCAACCTCCTGCTGTTATCACTTTATACATTCATCTTGGGTGATTTTATCTCCGCTCAAAATTTCAACCACTATCTTTATGCTGAAGATTCCTGCAGCCATAGTCCCACCCCGACTGTATTTGACCTTCAGATTCTTATATCAAAGGACTGCTGGACACCTCCACCTGGATGTTTCCCAGGCAACTCAGAACTGGACACATCTTCTACACTAACAAATGATGATAAATGTATGTGGCAGGTACCACAAAAAGCTACCTATGGATCACAGACTCTGGCTGTGTAGGAAGCTATTGTGTAACTATCTCATTAGGTTTCACTTCACACTTCTCATTATGAACTATTCCTATAACAGAAATTTGACATTTTCTCAACTTTTGGCACCATGCAACAAACGGGTACTCAAATTAAAAATCTGGGAGTCACTCTCCACTCACTGACTCATTGCTCCCACCTAATCAGTCACCAAATCCTGTCAATTTAGTTCCCTTTTGGTGTTTTATTTACTCCCTCCCTTTCACCCCTCCTATTTCATCTGTCCTGTTTTAAGTCCTCATCATCTCTCACTGGGTAGTCCCCTAACTAGCCTCCCAGTGCCAATCTCATCCCCCTCACATTGACCCTCCTCACAGCTGCTGGTCTGGATAGCAGGCCACATACTACTCATTGTCTGCAGGATCATGAACAGGAGGCCCAGCAGTTCAGTGACAAATGTCCAGCGGCAAAGTCACACAAATGGTTCCTCCAGTAGGATCTTGCCTACACTTTGCATCTCTTTATTATTGCCCAATGTATAGCTCTCTAGACTTCCTATTGATTCTGAAAGCTAACGGGCGCCCTTCCCATAAACTCCTTTTTCTGCTGGAACAGCCAACTGATGCTGTTTGCTGTGAAGACCTTTGAGTAGCATACAATTCCATGTGCTCCCACCATAATTACAGATTTGTGTTTCCTCCTATTGGTCTTCTGCTGCCACCAAAGACAGGGACCATGACCACCTCTGTACTTCCTGTTCTCTATTCACTTCAACTAGTAATTTAGTGCCTGATGGATAACAAGGGCTCAAATGCTTGTTGATAGACTGAATAGTAGGAGCTTTTTCTGTAAAGGATGTGATTCATTCTGGATACGATGAAGTTATGACATGGTACTACTTGCTTTGCTTTATCATCTTATTCTTAGCCTCAGAATACCCAAAAACACAAATAACTTTTTCACAAAGTAGAGAAAGCATATATTCTGGACCTCACTCAATCACAAACCCAATCCATTGGTCTCTGCATCAATCACATCAGTGTGCAAGAGATTCTTTTAGGAGCAGACAAATATCTCTACTGGCTTTTACCCATCAAGGTGGGTACCACTGAAGCCTCACACTCGAGCTCTTGGAAACTAACAGCTCTCAAAAGCTAGTTCAAAGTGTAATAGTCTTTTGCCAAAAATGCCTTTTCAGATCAAGCAGTGTCACTCTCGAGGTTGCTTTGTGACTGTTTGTGATGGCAGAGGATCAAGGGACTCAGGCAAGCCTCACAGCTAAATAACCCACGGGCTATTTGTCCATGGTATGACAGACCACATAGTGGCGAGACAAGCTGAAATACTGCTTCAGCATTATATCCAGAAATTACAACATTAGCCTCCAAAGTCTTTGAAGTCCTATGGTAGGAAGGATTATGAAACACAACCTCTTTCACTACAGGGAAAAAATGTCAAGGCTTTTCAAGAGCTTTAGACATTGATTAAATCCAAAGTGTTTGTTGATACCACATATTGTTTGTCAGGTGTGGTGGGAGGATGTGGTTCCTATTCTGAAAGATGCAACACTGATGAGGTAAAGGGGTGGGGACTCTGATAAGGAGACACCAATAAGATTTACAAGGTGGAAAGTGGAATGAAGAGAGACAAGGGAAGGCAGAGAAGTAAGGGAAGGGAGGCAAGGGAGAGGTTCATTGACTTGGGCAACTCAGAGAATGCTTCAACAAAGAGCTGGATCTTAAAGTATGAATAGGATTTAAATAGGCTAAGATGGGGCATAATAATACAGGTGTTGAAAACAATGCAACTAGAGCAAGGAGGCCTTAAAGTCAAGGGTGTGTTGAGTGAATCGCACATTAGGAATTAATGAGAGGGCAGAGTAGAAATGTAATTTGGGGCAAATCATGAAGCATCTTGAGTGCCAAGCTAGGCATTTTGCACTTTACCCTGAGGGTAACTGATAATTATCAAGGCATTTTTAACAACCCCTTGACAAGAGGGCATTGCTTCTTTCTTACTTCTGGAAGGATGGGGAGTTGGCCGTCATTCTAAGGCACTGTCCTCAACCCTGGCTATACATTGGAAAAACCTAAGGAGTTTATTTATCGTGTTTGCTTTTTTTGTGAACAATGCCAAGTCTGGCCCCACTTTGAGCCAAATAAATCAGAATCTCTTGGTGGAGGGCCTGGATGTGACTCTTTTAAAAGAACTACTTATGTGTTTTTAATGTCCAATCAAAGTTAAGTACCACTAGCCTAATGCATAGGTATAAGAATTTATTTATAAATTTTTAGTTTTGGTCGGGAATGCTTCGCTGACATTAAGTATGACATTATGCTTTGTTTACTTAGGTATGGCCTAATGGATATAATAGACATTTCTGATGTACTGTGAAAGTTTCTTGCCCTTAAATAACCTTATCATTTATCACTTGTAATATGTTTTTCTGTGTTAAGCACTACCTCCTATCTACAGTCGGAAAACTGGCAGATATGAAAATCAGGGTTGACCAGCCAAGATGCCCAAAACATGTTCCACCACCTGCTGGCCCTATTTTTTGAGATATCCATCCCTTCTGAACAAAACTGGATTTCACTCAAATTCTTAAAAATCAAATATTGTTTGTAAGAAAAGTGGGTGACCTACCAAAGAGATTCTGAGATCTTTTATGAGTACTGTAGCCCAAGAGGCGACTCACAAAACATGCTAACTGCAGGCTAAGAGACTGAAAATGGCAATGAAGAAAGTCCTATGACAAGAAATTATATTTTCCTCCCCATACATTGTGATCACAGCTGACTTCTGCAATTATGAGAAAGGGAACCTCCTAAAAATCCCCAGGCACCTTGTTGGGGATCAGATTAGGAGCTGATGGCTTCCCATTGAGCAACTCTAACTCGAGCAGGGAGGAACCCAGACTGGGTGCTGGCCTTGGTAAGAGGGAGTTTGACCAGACAGAACCTATGGCCAGAAAAGTCAGTCAGGCAAAGCGGAGCAGGCAGATATGACTAGTCCAGGCAGTTTAAATCCCAAGTGGAGGGTTCAGGCAAGAGAACTCAAGACCCTGGACCAGTGGTCGGCAAACTGCGGCTCTCGAGCCACATGCGGCTCTTTGGCCCCTTGAGTGTGGCTCTTCCACAAAATACTGACTTCTGCGCATGGGCCACAAAATTTCAATCGCACTATACACGCGCGCCTGCATGTGGTATTTTGTGGAAGAGCCACAGTCAAGGGGCCAAAGAGCCGCATGTGGCTCAAGAGCCGCATGTGACTCGAGAGCCACAGTTTGCTGACCACTGCCCTAGACTGACTGACAGGGAGGCCAAGGGTTAGGGACCTCCCAAAGAGCTTAGGAGATGAGAGATGAGTATGGCGAGGCATATCATAGAAGGCACCAGCACCATCAATCATGGAGCATGACTGATGCTGAGGCACCAGCTCTGTGGATGGATACGTAGGGAAGAGCAGCCTAGGGTGGGAGCGTGATGGGGCAGGATGCAAAGGACTCCTGACCCAAACCAAGAATTTACGAAGAAAAGGTGTTACTAGTAAGTCATTTGGAGAGACTATCAACCAGTGAACTTGGTTCTAATACTTTATCTCCATACCTCATTCAGTCATACAAAAGCTAGATGGCCTGAGAGGCTTGTGGGTGCTAAAAATAGAGGCAAATAATAAGAAAAGGAATGTTCTTCCTCTGGTTGGAATGAAGAGCAAATGGCAAAACTATAATCAAAAGAAAATGAGACTCTCCGTAGCTTCTCAGAAGCTGTGTTGGAAAGCTGTTTGGATTAGAAGAAATCATGACTGATAAAATACAAATCTAGTAATAGTGGAGTAAGAATAATATCAGGTTACATGTCTAAAGTGCTCACTATGCATTACATGTATTAATTTATTCAATCTTCACAACAATCTTACGAGATAGGCACTTTTGTTATCTCCATTTTACAGCTGAGGAAACTGACACAGAAAGGATATGTAACTTGTTCAAGGCCACACAGCATGAAAGGGCAGAGCCTGGATTCAAGCTGTCTAGCTTAGAGGTTATACTAACCACTAGGCTTACATTTTTTTCATGATAAGGAATTACCTTTGAAGGTACAGAATGAACCAAGAGCACAGATGAACATGCATAAGGACCTTTTAATCATCCAATACTTCATTTACTCATTTAGCAAATTAATTCACTCAATAAATCTTTATTGAGCATCTACTACATGCCAGACCCTTTTCTATATGCTGAAGATTGCCGACAGGTGGGATACCCCACACATCCGGAAGAGTGAATAAATGCACTGTATGACCAAGAGTGTAGTGTTGTGTGACTCTGGTAGGCCCACATCTTTGGAACCTGTGTTCTATCATATGTATGAACTGTAACTATATCTCTTATGAAGAGTTTCCAAACTGCTATAATTAACACAAAGTTCCAGGGCCCAGGACCCAGTGGAGACTGGGATGAGGCAGTGATACTGGAGGGAAGAACTGGTGAAGAACAGAGGACATGAGAGGTTGCCATTGCCTGGGCCGTGACCATGACTGGGAGCCTGTCTGGGCCCAGCATGCTCCTCCGTAAAATAAGGACATTGCACTGGATGATCCCCAAGGCCCACCACTAGGATCCAGGCGCCCTTGCAGAGCCAGAGCAGATCCAATGCCATGCTCAGGCACAGTGCACAACAGCCACACTCAACCTGACAGCAGCATAGCCAGGGCGGCCGGGGAATGCCGGGTGATACTATCGCATTGACCGTCTCTCTGAGAGACATCCGAGGGACACCCTGAATGTGGGCTGCTCTTGGTCTCAACACAACGTGGGGTTGTGTTTCTGCTTAGAGGGCACCAGGAGACCCATAAGCAGGGGAGATGCAGGTTCAAGCAGGCCCAGGGGGCAGGAACTACCTTGTGAACCCCTGATTTTAGGGTGAGAAGCAGAGTGGGCCCCTCAGGGTCAGGAAAAGAGAGCTGTAATCCGCAGGAAGGGAGGACTGCTCCTCCTGTTCCAGGAAGGCCCTGGGTCCCTTGCCAGACTTTTGGCTCTAGCTGGGCTTCAAGAAATATCAGGCGGATTATCACTATTTATAACTGGCACATGACTGCGTGCAGAACTGAAACTCAGATGGCCAAGTGACTGGAAGTGTCCTCAAGATAGAAGGAAAAGGTTTGGGTGAAGAAAGGAGGTGTCAGAAAGAGACACACGCATGTGCTCACAAAGGGATTTGGGCACCTCTGCCATGGTCACACCCCCACCCCACCCCTTGTTATAGCAAACCTCTAGCTGCCTGGATATCAGCACTTGCTCTTCCTGGATTAGGCAATTTCTCGACTCCTGACCCCCACTGCTATAGAAAAAAATGCTTTCCCTACAAAAAATGCTTTGAATTTCATTTTTCTACCTTCTCTTAACCTGACACATTTCAGTATCTGCCTTTCCCTACTTGGGTGGCTTTGTTTTTGAAACTTCCAATTAAAAAGCAGTACCTGGATTTGGATTTTACCCCTCCCCCTCCCTCAGTTCCTCTGAGGGTGTTAGGTTAAAGATACTAAGCCAAAATATCCAAAACTCAGAACGAAGCCAACATCCACCTGATGACTAATTTGAATTGTGACTCTGGATGAAAGGTCAACTTTCTGTTCTCTAAGAATCCTCCGGCGAACGGCTGACATGTGGAAATGGAACCAATGGTTTGGATTCCAGCTGAGGACCACTATGTAAAGGAGTGAATGAATAAAGATTTTTATAGGATAAAATAGATCTCGTCTTTCCTGGATTTAATTCAAAACTAAAACATAGAAACGAGTTCAAATTTGAGTCTGACATAATCTCACTTGCCTTGACAAGTTAGGAAAGATAAAAAAAAATTCTACAAAAAAACATAGAGGAAAATTTAAAAACAAACACAAAACACCCACCAAGGCCACCATTGGCAAAAGTAGAAAGTAGAGGAGGCTAGACTGCAGGGGCTGGTCCCCAGGACTGGTGTCACACCCTGTCCCTGGGGTGCCCCCCATGGTGGTACACAACACAAGCCAGCACATTGCCCTGCCAAACTCGCCCATCCTGTGTCCAGTGGAGAACAAGCATATTTCAAAATGGCCATGAACTAGAGACATTGGAATTGTAACTGGAGATGTGTAGAGAACTAATACTTGAAATAAACTAAAGGGTTGGACCTCCAATATAATTTTGGGCAGCTGGGGAGATATTTTAAGACAATCACCCCAGATTTGAATCTCCTGTGATGAAATTCCAATTTCTCCCTTCACTGGCCTTTAGCATTGTTCTTTCCATTGTAAATTAATCTATGGACTAAGGACATATAGAAATGCCATTTGTGTTCCAAACACTGTGGGCGAAAGTCTCTGAAACCTACAACTTTTCTTTGGTGGATACAAATGCACAGATGGAATCAGTTTCAAAGGGTTTTTGCAACCAGATGAAGGAAATTTGCAGAGAAACTTGTGAACAGCTTGCCAAATTTCAGCCCAGGGCGATTTTATTATCTTTAAGTTACCAATCTAGAAATGGGTTTATAACAGAAATTCTTAGTGATGGCTTCTCAGCAGGCAGCCACAGCAGCCGGCACACAATGAACTCTTTGCCTATCTGGAGTGGACTGTTATGTCCAAGTTCTGGTCTTTGAAAAACTCCATCTGTAACGACTGAAGCCTAACCTGCCCACCTGGAGTGCTCGAAGGCGAATGAATTCACTTCCCCCAGCCAAACCAGAAGTCCTAGGACTGAGCCAGAAAGCAGTGGCCGCTAGAAGTTAGAAAGAAAGGAAACAGGAAAGCAACAGTACCTTCATTATACTATTAAACCTTAATCACCTTTTCCTATAAGCATCTTCCTGTTTGCATGGTTTAACTGCCACTGTGCAGAGGTGCCAACTCAGCGGAGAGCACTTCCTGTGGGTCTGGGAGGTGGTGGAGTTGGGCAGGCTGTGGCATGCCACTGACCCAGGCAGCAGCCTGCTGTGAGGGGGCCACCATCCTGCCAGAGGACTGGGGGTGGGGGCTCAGGGACTGAGGCTCCTGGATGAAGGGGTGATGTTCATTTCCTTTCCTCAGGGCCAGGACTAGAGAAGTGCCTAGTAGGGCATAATATTTAAGGGTTTCACTCTCAGGGTCATGCAAGTGGCTCTACTGAGCGAGTTCCCTCCCCTAATTAGACAGGTCAGAGCTGGCCAATGCCATGTGACTGGACCAACCATTTAAATATTCGAAGACTGAGATTCCCTTCTGTGAAAATGGGGCTTAACATCACCCACCTGTGAGTGTCAGAGAAGCTAATGCAAAGCCCCAAATAGAAGCCTGGGGCAGAATAAACTGTGATTGACAGTTCCTATGTCCTAACCAGAGCTTCTGGGCTCCACCCTTCCCCACGTTGGGTGATTGGAGGCCTGAGGACATTTGGAGAGGGGAAGGCGGTAAACTGGCCTCCTTTATGCTGCAGTGTGCTAAAGAAGGCTCTTTCCCAGTCCAGTGGCCTGGGGCATCAATCTTCTGATGGGGGTGACACATGTTAAAGAAGGCTCTTTCCCAGTCCCCGTGGCCTGGGGCATCAATCTTCTGATGGGGGTGACACAGTGAGCGAGAGGAAAGGAGAAGGGACTCCCGGTGCCAGCTTTGGGCACTGGAGAATTACTTATTTTTACTAAATGAAGGGTAAGAAGATACCTCTGAAGACCCCACATTTAAACTTTGTCACTAGAACCCAAGTGGTATGTAGTGGTGAGACCACGACCAACACCCACCAGCTGAGTGGCCTCAAGCACAAGGTCATGGACTTGGTTTCCTCTTTTGCCAAGTGCTGGATTATAAATACAACAGGAATATGATGATGATGTCATGCAGCAAAACACAGAGGTCTCATCACAGAATTATGGAACCCCTCCTGCAGGGTGGGAAGAGAATGCCCCGTCTGCCTTCCCCAGCTAGCAAAGGTGTCCACAGGGGACAGAGAGGATGACCGGCCGTGGGAGACAGTCATCATCCATGCCCCCTTTCTCCCTTCCATTATGGAGTGCTGGGGGGAGGGGCAAAACCTCAGAGCTTCTACCCCAGGCCAGGTAAACAAAGGACACCCCGCTCCTCCCCCCATCTCTTCCTTGGCCATCCAGGCAGCACAGCTGAGGTTTGGAAGGAGGATCCATGACGCACACTTTTCCTTCCAAGGGGATTTAACCCCAAGATAGCATTTCCCACGTGAAAGAGCCAACCAGCAGGGCACCGAGTCTCCTTACCTTCCTCATTTAAAATCCACGGCCGGAACGCAAGCACGGAGTCAAAGCCACAGGTGTTCTCTTCGAAGGCGCAGGACCCAGCGGGCAGGTCCAAGGCACGGACAAGCTGCAGGGCTGCGGGCACAAAGCGAGTTTCAGTTCGGGGAGCCTTGGCACCAACTTTGGGCGCCCCTGGGAAACTACCTGGTGGAAGTGAGGGGAAGGCGTGCAGGAGGGGGCAGGTGAGGGGATGCACTACAGTTCTCCCACACCCGGGCTTCCATTGCGCGCACCCTCATCACCACCCCAGGCTTGGCTTGGGGAGCGAGAGAGCCGCTGCGGAGAAGTATCAGGAGGCGCCCTTGGATGGCTCAGCCCAGGGCAGCGAGCCCGGCCACTGGAGCAGCAGGAGAGGGAGCGGGTCACGAGAGCGTCATAGTGGTGTAAGCTACCAGCCGCTGGGACGAGCTGCTCCCAGTGGAAGGGAGCGTGGGAGGCGGGGGCGCCTGGGACGGGGGCGGGAGAAGTCGAGAGGCCAAGCGTGCGCTTAAGAGCTGCTCAACTTTGCAAAGTGCTCCCAGCGCCGGGCGGAAAGCTGAAGGTGCCTAAATGGAGAGCGCAGCTTGGTCTGCTGCAGCCGCGGGTCTGACCGCGTCCCCGCCGCACAGCTGGTCCTGGGCGAGGATAGGGCTGGGCGGGGAGGAGACAACTGCACACTTTTTTTTTTTTTTTTTTTTTAAAGGGTGGCTGGGAAAGGAGAGGTCGGGATGCAGTGCCTCCGCGCAAGATTTCAAAGTTTGGGACCAGATCCCTTGCCCTGGGGCTGGCCTTCCAGGAGGAGCTCCGCCCCGCCCAGTCGCGGTGGGAGCCAGCTTATTTCTGGGGACAGCCTCTCCGCATCTGGCATGGCAGTCCTGCGGGGCTGGCCTTAATTTTAACTACTTCTCCCCAGAATGGAAGACGGTGGGATCCTCCTGGGAAAATCTAGAGGAAATTTTGGAAACTGGAGGGTGGAATAGCTTCACATCTCACGGGTTTCAGCATTCGTGGCCCAGGAACGCTAACCGTGAAATACCACCCCCGGCCCGCGTTTTTAGCGTGGAATGTCTGGCATGCCTGGTGCTCTGCATTCCCTCTGTCCAGTGAATGGGGCATTCCTCCTCTCCAGAGAGCCATGATAAATTAACAGAAGGTTTCTAAGTTGGGACGTGGGCACGAGGGTTTACTGGGAGAGGGTTTACTGGGAGGTACCCATGTGCTGCACATTTGCTTTGAGCACTAAGTGGGTCTTTAAAATTGTTCTCTTCCAGTACAGAAAAAGCTTGTTTGTTTGTTTGTTTTTCCCCTTCTCAATCCTCATTATAATGTTGTGCAGGCACTTTTATGCCTAGGGTAGTGGTTCTCACACTTGAGGGGTGCATCAGAATCCCCTGGAGGGCCCCACCATCAGAGTTGGTGACCCAGTAGATTGAGGGTGGGCCGGAGGTTCTGCGCATTCCTAACAGATTTCCAGATGCAGATACTGATGCTGCTCGTCTGCAACCACGCTTGCAGGACCACTGGCCTTACAGACTCCTGTTCACCCATCGAAGCCCTGCTCACATGCATCACCTGGTTTCCAGACTCTCCTGGTTTTCCTTGTCCTTCACCCACAGCTCCTTCTCAGGCTCCGTGGCTGTTTCTTGTTATCTCTCTGACCCCTGAACATCTTCTGTTTCTATTTCTACTCACTTCCTCAGTGATTTCATCCAATCTTATAGTTTGAAGCACCAACTATAGCCCAATGACTCCTAACTCTATACTTGCAGCCCAGACTGCCAGCCAACCCCAGACGCTTCTCACTGCCACTTCAACATGTTCATTTGGATGCTAAGGAGCTACTGCACGCTTAACAGGGCCCAACATGAACACCTCCCATTCCTTCCCAACCTGCCTTTCTCTGCATCTTACTCTTCTTAGTTCAAGGAGCCTTTTTTCTTCAGTTGCTCAAGACAAACAACAACAACAACACACAAAAATAAAACACCACTGAGAGTTATCCTTAACTCTTCTTCTCAAGACATTACCAAATCCTGTCAGTTCAGGGCTCAGAATACAGCCGGTGCTGAATGCTCCGTGCCCACTGTGACTGCCCTGACCTAAACGCGATTGTTGTCAGCCAGGGTTACTGCAGCAGCAGTAGCATCCGTCCAACAGCGGTCTCCCCGCTTCTTCTGCCTTGTCCACCTCCACTCCATCCCTAATGTGGAGTCAGGGGATCCTTTTCATGCATAAATTGGGCCATGTCACTCCATGGCTCAAGACTCCTAATAGCTTCCCCAATCATTTAGCAAAATCCAGACTCTTCACAATGGCCTGCCAGGTCCTATAAGACCTGTCCCCACCCCCTTATATCTCTGACCTCATCTGCCCTGCTTAGTCCACTCCAGCCACATGGGCCTCTTGGTCAGAGCTCAAGCACGTCTAGCTGACCTCTCAGAATTTTGCACTGTCTGTTCCCTCTGAAATGCTCTTCCCAGGAGAGCCATGTGGCCCACGCCTACACTGCCTTCAGGTCTTTACTCAGTTGTCACCTTCAGTATTAGAAAACTCAATGGTTTTCTCTCTAATAAGAAGGGGGGAAAAAAGCCCATTGTATCTTTTTAAAATAAGTTTGGACAAATTTTCATGAATTTTCTGTAAGCAAAGGATCAAATGATCTAAAATTTGTTTGTGTGCATGTATTTATTTGCTTTGCCTCAGGTAGTAGTTAATAATGATAAATAGCATTTGTTGTGTTTACTATTAATACATGTTTTATAGAGAAAATCTCATTTAACTTTCACAGGTCTCTGGGGTAGATATCATTAGTACTCTCATTTGATAGGTGGGGAAACTGAGGCACAGAGTTCAGTGACAGTGAGTGGGAGAGACAAGATCAAGCCCTGACCCGATTTATTCCAAAAGCCTATTTTCTCAACCAGAACAGTAAAATTCAAAGGCAAATGTAAGTCAACTTGAAACCTCAAAATATTACAAGTTTTCAGCAACTATCAAACCAGTGCTCCTTTTTTCCAGGTACCTGCAGAGTATTTCCAAGTTTTAGGATTGCCTTAGATTCATTTGCATGTTCTAAGTCTTAGGAAAAAGAAAAACTGCAAAGCCTTAAAGAGCTCTCCAAAAAGTTAAAAACTATGATTTAAACTTTAAGGTGACATTATTTATGGTCACCTACGGGAAACAGAAGCATTACACATGAATACACAGTAGTTGGAGTAAAATTTCTAACTCACATATAATTGCTCGATCCCAGAATAGATGGTCCTTCAACATTGGCACAGGTTGGTGTGTCTGGGAAGCAGACTGATTTGGAGTTTATCATGTAGGATGTTTAGTGGGGGGTGCCTTTGGGATCAACTCCCGTGGAAGCAGGACTGGGCCAAGGGGGAAGTGACACATCCCCTCACAGCCTCTTGTGACCGCACAGGGAACCCTAGAGTTAAAGGTGCCCCATATTAGGCTGAAATGGCCGAATTCTATGTGTTGCTGCTTTCATCGGTCCTGGATGTGGCCCACATGAGGACAGGTGATCTACAATGAGGGGCTCTCTGCACTTGAGGCCAACTCACAGGGGCTGACAGCTAAAGACTGTTTGATGACAGCACTCCCAGTAGCTGGGACAAGTCCTTAAGGAGGATCTGGACAGCACATCAGCATCTACCACAGGCATTTTGCAGAGAAAGGAAAGGATACAGCACATGGAGAGGGCCAAGAGCGAATCCAGAAAAATCTACAAATGATGTGTGTCAACCCACTCCCTTTGGTCACTAATCATGGAGCCACAGAGCTGTGCTCAGCCTCATCACTTAGGAAACCAGCATCAGGCCCCA